TAATTAATAGAGGATTTTTTTTTTACTTATCCTTAAATATTTGTACTTTCTGGTTTTACCCTTCAGATGCATTTTAGGATTCTGAGGCAATTAGCTAAGTCCAAACCACAGACACAGAAGTGGCTAGTAGACAGTCTCTGTCTTAATTTGTATACTATGCATACAAAACCATTGGTTAATCCATCAAAACACAAGAAAAAAAAAAAAAAAAAAGTGTTTCTATAATAATATTTCAGAGTGAGTGTGAGTTTAAGTGGCCACCTGAATTGCTTCCTTGCACTTGATGGCAAGTTTATGGMCATGCTGTAAATGTCAGACTACGCCTTTTTTAATAATATAGAAAGACACTATAATACTGTTTCCTTGTAACCAGGACAGAAAATCATTTGGTAAGAGTAAGAACATTTATTGGTTTTGACATAAAAATTTCTTGCTGTGAGGTGGAAATGCTGTCCTCCAAATACCGGAAGGAACGTGAAATCTCAAGGGTTATGTTCACTAACTCCTGGTTCAAAAGCAGACGCTGCAGGTGCATTATTTAAGAGCTTGTCAAAGATGATCTTCTGCAGCGCGCTGCTCCAGGACTCCTCTCTGGCTATGCCCAGGAAGACAGGAATGTCTCATGTAAATATATGGCAGAACTGGCTAGCAGTGCATCGAGCCCACACTGCCTGTGCTACTTCAGTACCACTGTGGTCACGACAAAATATTAATTTTGGAAAGCTCTCCAATATTGGATGCAGTGCCTCCTCCCACATATGCCACTTAAATGCAGGTCTATGAACAAGCTTTTCAGTATGCACTTACTCTGAAAAATTCAAAGCAACAGTTCTCACAGAAGACATGTTTATGTTCTTATGCATATTTTCTATTGCTATATTCTATTCAGTGTTAATTTGGTGCAACAGACATATTCAATGTAAGTGAGAAACAGTTGCAGTCTAAGCTACTGCTTTGAATTTCCGAAGTCCTGTGTACAAAAAAACTTGAGACTTGAGCATATTTTATTCAATGTTTCTTTTTCTTTTTTCTTTTTTTTTTTTCTTTTTATTCTTTCAGAACATAAATCCTTGAGCAGAAGCTAGCCAGATCAGGATTTCAGTTAGGATAATGACAAATATACATGCTAGAAGAAAATCAGAAGGTACTCARAGGACCAAACTGTCAGAAAAATCAAATTGGTTGACTGGGTCCCATTTGCAATATATAGCAAGCTAGATTTTCAGAGCCTAAGTCATGGGAGCATTGCTGCCTTCAGTACAGGTATGTTCATTTGAATCAAGGATCTGACCTGTGTTTCCCATAGAAGATGCTGCAGATATACATAGATCTTCTGCCATAGATAGATGCCTTCAAGTTCTTCTCATATATCAAAATCCATCAAAAATTCAGGGAAGAGAAAGAATATGTTTTGGATGCCAGAGTAAAAACAAATACACAGTCCAGTCTGAACTACTCATATATAGACTAAAAAATTCTTCATATGGAGAAATCACAGCTGATAAAATCACCCTTTTCATACTTAACTGAATTGCTTAAAAAGAAAATAAGAGAGAAAAATCACTTTGGGTTGACATCAGAGACATATAATTAAAAATTGCAAATTTTTAGAAAGTACTATTTTGATGGAAAGTGTTTATCCTAAATATGTCTGTACTGGACAGTCAAAAAGCAGATTAGAAATATCTGTTTTTCATCATTGCTTTAAAGAACAAACAGGAAGAGAAAAGAATGCATAGAGAGGAATGGTTACATCTTAGAGACAGACAATGCAAGTCAGATTTGCGGTGCAGAAAAAAAAAATTGCACAAGAAAAAAAAAGTGCTCTGTAGGGGCTACAGAAATAAAAGTATGCAAAAGTATGCAAAACAGAAAGTGACCTTGGGTGCTTATATTCAAATAATATAAAACAAAGTAACTTTGTACCAGTTCTCATTTGCACTGAACCCTGAAGGGAGAAAATTAGGATGATTACATATTCAACCACAGTAATCCTGGATTAAGGCATTTAATTTCATAGACTGTTTACAAACCATCAATACAAACAATAAGCAGATATACGGCAGACTTGATTTAAAAGTATATTACTTTGCTGTCAAAACTAGCTGTAGTATAAATTCAGGAGTATGCTATGTGTTAATCTTTTTAAAGAAAGGGTTTTTTTTAGGGGTCTGAAATAATCTTCTATGTCTGAACTACCTCACAGAAATACAATATCCTCTGCAAACATTAAGTAGGTAGTTGCTCTTTTGTTGGCAAATAAGGGTATACCTAGACTTTTAAATTTATGAATGGCTTGGAAAATTGGTGTCTCCAAAATAATCTGTTTGTAAAAGGTAAGTTATATGAAAGGAGTAATTAACAGAAAACATCTGTACCATATTTACCTTTAGGAAGTATATTTTTATCAATAGCAGAATATTTCCATATAAGTTAAAATTTAAGGTATTATGGCAAATTTCTGGAAATTTCCTCTTTATCATAATTCTAAGGAATCTGATAACTCTGAGAGAAAAAAACTTCAAAACTTTCATCTGTGCTCTTCTGCATCAACAAGTATTACCCAAGCATTCACAGCACAGGTAAATAAATCAACCTTATTAGACAAGGTCTGCCTTTGGTACTTGGGAAATTAAAAATTTGCTCTCTCAGTCTGGAGCTCAGAGACCAAGTGGTCACCAAGGGATGCCACTTCACATGACAGGCTAATATGGCTAAGAACTTCTAACATGGACAATGCTTCAGGTTACATGAAAAGAATTCAATTACACTTTTTTTTCCCCAGTTCTCCCATTACGCAGAATACAAGTTTCTTCCTGTTGCATAGTGAACTRAATTCACTGCCCCTAAACTGTTTTAACCTATGCCTTAACAGAACAGAAGCTGGGTTAAKTTTTTTTAAGTTAACAGAAATCTTTTTGCAGAGCTTGAAAGGCTTTATATCAAATTGACAAGGAAACCCATGTGTTATATATATCATTGCAACCTCTCTCCCTACAACCCATAGAGCTCCGTATACTTTGGCAGCCTACAGATCAAGAATTATTCCAAATTTCACTCTCACTAATGTGTGAGATAAAACAATCATTGTATCAAATGAGAAATACAAAAGTGGGAGGAGGCAACTCTTAGGTGGTATGGCTGGATCCTTACAGCTGATGTTTCCAGGAGGTGAGAATCGCTGCAGTCAAATAACGCTTGAGAAATTCTAAATTCACTGAAACTGCTGAAAAAAAATTGTAAAAACACCCATTACCATTCAATGATAAAATTTCAAATTATCCATAGTGGTATGCTCTATGACTGAATGCCAGTTCACCATAAAATGATCTTCACTGAACACAGAGATAAGCGCATGCAAAATGGGGGTGGTTGTGAGGAGAAAAAAAAAGCCAGAAAAATACATCTTAGAAGTTACTTATGTTTAATGCTTAAAAGTCTGAATGCACAAACAATAATCTACCATTATAGAAGTACTGGTGGTCAATACAATGCATTAGAACTATGTACAATGACACAGTTTAGTATCAAAATTTTTCTACACTGTAGAGTATTACGAAACTGTTAATGACATCAAACACTAAGCACTTAAGACACCATTTTTTGCTACCACATTTGGAACTTCAATGAACAGTCCATTTTAACTTGCAGCATCAATCCATTTCTAGTATGAAATTAAGTAATCTTCTACTTATACAATAAGATTTATCTACACGGGTCTTTTGATTTTGATCCATAGCAGCAAAGGCACTGTACATCAGCAGATCCACAGACTTAAAGATTTTTTTAAAGCATTCAAAAAAAAAAAAAAAAGTCACAGATCATAGTTTAACAGCAACAACAACAACATAAAAAGATAACACAATGTCTCCGGCACAGTGGCTCAGCCTGTGTCCATTTTGGGTACATCCAATCAAGACTTGGATTGAAATGGTGGCAAACAAAGCAAGTCTTTTCTCAAGTGAGAATCCATTCCTTTATTGTATTTAAGAATGAATGCTCTTGTAAATCCTACCTCAGAGGTCCTTGCTTTTATACGTTTGTAAATTGGTAGGAATTCATTCTTATTTCAGTGCAGTTTGCAATGAATATATCAAATATTTTTCATAATCTCTTGTAATTGAAAAATTGCCCAAAGACACATATCCCCATTGAAAGAAACGTGGCAAGTTTCCAGAAGTAATAATTCTTTGAGGCAACTTATTATACTTCTCTCTACAATATACAAAGAGAGGTGTTATATTAAAAAAGCTACATTGACACCAAAATCCTTTGTTCATCAATAGAAAAACACTAAGAACAAATCTTTTCAGAAGATGCTATATAGACATTGGAAATAAATTGGCACATTCTCATAAAAGGTATTTAACTTAGATGAGAACTGAACTTGCCATTCATCACAGGCATATAAATCATTGGCTATAGGTTGCAATTTCCTAAATTTTCAAGACTATCTAAAATAGTTAAACTAAGCATATCCCCATCAAATATTTATACTGTAACAGTACTTTGAGGCCTCACCAACAATAGCACTAAAAAAATCCCCTTTTTTTTTTTTTTTTAAATCAGAAGCTACAAGTCTATTCAGTGTAGCTTTTATTATTTCTGCAACATCCTTCTCTTCAATCCCTGTCATCCACCAGCAAAAGCACAAAATATACAATGCACCTTTCAAACTAAAGCCGGGCCAGACAGCTTTATTTAGTCAGTTCATTGTTAGAAAGCCTTCTTTAAACAAAATAAATACATTACAGCTATAATACATAATTAAAGAGTCAAGTTCACTGTTAAGTATGCTTATTTTATCTTCTTCCAAGTATATATCTGATGATTTGGTATCACAAATTCTTAATCAGCATTCACAATTCAATATCAAGTTAAAAGGGGAAAAATAAATTCCATAACTGTGATAAGCATTTACGTTCTCAGTTTGGGAAACACACACACACACANAAAAAAAAAAAAAAAAAAAAAAAAAAAAAAAAAAAAAAAAAAAAAAAAGGAAAAGGAAAAGAAAGAAAGAACGGAATATACAGCAAAGTGCTACGAGAAGGAGTCCTGTCTGTATTCAGATGTGTCTCTAATAAATAACTTCGTAGACCGTAGCCTTCTTATCCCCAGAGCCAGTGACGATGTATTTGTCATCCACAGAAATATCACAGCTAAGCACAGATGAGGATTCTTTGGACTACAAGGGAAAAAAAGAGAAATACATATATATAATAATTAATTTTAACTCTTTTCAACCCATGTAAGTACTTGAAGATATACCAGAATAGTTTACAGAGGGGAAATGCAGGGGAAAGCTCATTCAAATATCACCAGTGTAGACGCAAAGTAAAAGTAAAAAGGGTGGCAGTTTTTATAACAAAGCTGTTTCTCCAGACTTGTCTCACCTAAAGCTCTATGGCAACAAAAAAGGTCAGCAGAAAAGAATGTTTTATTTAATGGTAAGGAACTAGAGATAACCTATCAATCAAACAAAAATAAGCAGTCCCTTCTATTAACTTTACAACGAGTATTTATTAAAATCTTATGTTAGTCTTTGCATAAGAATGAATCAAAACCCATCTTCTTTCTCCTCCTCCTTTCTGTTTTAAACCAGAAATCCTTAATGGAGAAGTACGAGAAAGTCCTATCTATCCACAGGCATAAAACAAAGAAATTTCATGATTTCATGGAAATAACTTTATCTCCTATCAGTATTCATCCAACACAAAGGAAAAAAATATGCACAAAGAAATTTACATTTCCAAAGAGAAAGCAAATATGAAAAAGTACCACTGCAGTAAAAGCAACAGCATGCAGCAGCTGAATGGCAGAAGGGTTACAGCAGCTTTATCTCCCCCRACTTTTCTATTAGCATGGAGAAGGATCTTTCCTGAGATAATATACATACATCCTGTGATGTATGCGGTCACATTATGCTTGCTGTTTCAGGGGATGTTTTCTCTATATAACATATATGACTACACTTTCTTTCCTGTCCTTCAGTGCAAGAGCTAAATAGTTCCCAATCATGCTAAGTTCCTGCAAAGAAACTTCTACAGCACAATACAGCCATTTCTTCCTCTGATCCTAACTGGAAAAGGTGCCCCAGGAAATTATATAGTTTTAAGGATGATGATTTTGGAAAGATCACTTGTATATTCCGTAGGAGTTTTTTTTCCAGAATATTTCACTGTTTAAACAGCTACATCACTTGTAACACAGCTCAAAATATTCTCAACATAGAGGTTCCCAGTATGGATGAAGAAGAAAGGGATCTTCTTTCATGGCACTGAAGCTCTACTAAGAGTGAGTATAGAGGGATTAAAGATTAGAGAAAGATTATGACTTCCAGTTACATTTGATAGGACACATCTACAAGGATCAAGTTTTCAGCTCAAGAGTCCAGTTTAATCAATTGACTGTATGGTATTATACAAGGTATGAAACCTTAGTGTTACTTATCCAAATATAAACTGTGAGAAAGTACTCATGAACCTTAAATTAATAACCTCCTCAGCATGTTGAATATGACTTTCATTATTTAAGCTACATTTTGGACCTTTTAGGAATGCTAAGCTAATATAACTGGAATGCTGTATTACACCAATACATACAAAGGTGAGAAAGAGAGAGAAGGGAATTTCAGAGTAAAGGATTCAGTTATGGTAAGAGATAAATCACTAAAATGCTACTAAGGTCACAAGTGTATGCCTCTAATTTCAGATAAATTTGTAAAAGAATAAAATAATTATCACTGAATTTCCACTCAAGAACTTTCTTAAGATAATGACAGATCCCAAGAAGTGTAGCTCTATTGCACTGCATTGTGGAAAACAGCTTTTAGGAGATTATTACCTGGAATATACTGGCTCCATAAGGTGTTCTCCAGGCATTGAGAAGGTTATCTTTTCCAGTGCTTACAAACCATTTGCCTGCAACACATTGTTTAAATGCTATCAAAGAATGCACCGCAGGAAAAAGATTAGTCACAAAAGCTATTCATCTATATATTAATGAAATTCATACCTGAAACGAGACACACCTTCATCTGGTTAATCTAAGATGTTTGATTGCAATTTAAGTGGTATACAAAAAGGCAGTCATGGATTTTTTTTAATCTTAATACTTAAACTTAACATTTAGTTTTTAAATTTCTCAGTTGTTATTAAAAGGTGATATTGAATAAATTTCCAAGGACAGAAGATACTGGTAAAGAAAACTTACCACAGTGAGCAAATTTGAGTGACAACACACAGCTCTCATGAAGATGCAGCTGATACTTGTCCGGTTTAGTAACATGAAGCACCTCAACGTTACTATTTTCCATTCCTACTGCTAACCATTCACCAGTTGGACAATAGCCCAGTGAGAAGATCTGGAATTAGCACAACACATGCTTCAATCAGTCAGGAATAAGCTTGAGATATTCAAACCCGACTCCTGCTACACTGTTAACACTATGCAAAAACACATTTTGGTCTGCTACACAGTTTTAAAAACATGCTAATCCAATTACTATAGTAATCAAGATAAATTAGCTCATGTAAACAAAGCTCAATTAAAACTGTAATACAGAAGCACTGAATCAAGCTATAAAAGTTAATGTCCTAGCTTATATGACAGCATTTAAAAATATTTTTGTAAAATATTTTTGTACAAGGATCTACAGAAACTGTAACAGATTGTGCACAGGAATACCTTAATCTGGCAATTCTTTTACAAAAATGATTCTCCACTGCTCTCATGGGAGATGTACTAGTCTGTCAAACAGAGTCATAATCCAGAAAGATGTTTTACTGCTATATCAAAGGAAAAAGATGTGTGAGACTAAGTGGAAAATTATTTTGGAGTTCTCCTAGACTACCTTTCTTTTTGGTTTTTGTTTTTTTTTTTAAGTGTGTGTTTTAGTAAAACGCAAGAGATTTTTTTTTAAATGACAAAGATACTAATATCTAACCTGTGATGTAAAGTCATGTTGTTGTAGCTGTCTTCCTTCTCTGAGATCCCAGGATCTGACTGTATTATCCAAGCCTCCTGTCCAGAGTTTAGTGCCATCATTAGAAATATCAATACAGCTGGCTCCATCTGTGTGGCCCTGAAATTGCCTGAAAATACCACGAGAAGATACATTCTCACATTGGAAACTGTCAGTTTGGAATTCTTAACTCAGAATACCTTATTTTTGTTTCAGTGTTGTACAGACAACCATTAAAGAAAACTGTAACAATTTAAAATTAAAATCTTGAGACAATCATGTGAATTTTGTGACAAATTTATCAAGCAATGAGGTCAGACAGCTGAGCACTAATTTGTTTTTCAGAAGTATGCATCACAAGTCAGATATTTTGAGGATCTTTGATGCTGACTGTGTGATATCCACCATTTGACAGGAAATACCGCACTCCCCAATGAAAGAAATCAGCACAATAGTCAAAATTCACCTGTTTTAAGATGGCAAGCTTTAAAATAGAGCAGCCTAAATTAGAAGCATCAGCTGGCAGAAGTCCATCTATATATGTATTACACAATGCAGTAGTGTATGCAGAAGCTCTGCACAACTGGCCCTAGCTATCTGTATGCTGGTGTAGAGTAGCAACTCATTCTCAGGAGGTTGAAGTGTGCAATGCAGTGATTTACACATGTTTATCCAAGGCATTCTCACTAGGACATTTATTAAAGAGAATGGCATTTGAGTACAGCATACTGTATGGAAACAAAAGTATCAATTTGCTGAAAATTTCCAGGGCAATGCCAGCACTGGCTGATTTTAGGCAACTCTAGTTCTGAGGCTGCTTGATGGGTATGGAATTATAAAAGTCTCAAAACCTATAAACAATCATAAACAATCTTATTGAGATATAACCACGGTTATTGCCTAGCAATGAAATACTGAAAACAGTTATGTTGACTCTACTAAGACACGAGCATATTTAAGCAGAAGAGCACGTACTGCTACATCTAATTACGTCTTCACAATCTGATGATACAGTTCTGTCGACCTACCTTACTAGAGTCTGGTTATGCAGATCCCAGACTGCAATGTTGCCATCACTGCAACAAGAGAAGCAGACCTTGGAATCGGGACTGATAGCTAGAGCATAGCAAGCCGGAGCAGAAGATGTCAGCTCTGCCTTAATCCGGGGAGTTGGAGCTGCCAGGTCCCAAATGGATAATGTACTGGCTTCCCCACCAACAATCAGGGTGCGGCCGTCTGGGAGCAATCTGCAGGAACGGATGTAGTTATCTCTGTTCTGTGGAGACAGAAGCCATCAAGAGATTACTCATGAGGAAAGGAAAACAGCATTAACATGAGAGCAGAAATCCATAAAAGTATTGTATTCCCTCCTGGTTTTAATGAGCCATTTATACTTATGACAATGATAAAGTGTATTAATGCTAGAAAATTACATGACATTAGGGAAGTGCTTAAACTTGATCTACAAAATTCAGTAGTGAGAGATATTTAATCTTAATTAGCATCAAAATGCAAAGATCTGAACCCAGCCCCAAACAATTTGAGATAGCTGCACCCAACAGCTTGTGTAGAAAGTTACATTTTCATACTCTGTTTATTTCAGCACATTAACCTCTCAGCATGGGAGAGTACCAAATTCCTTGCACACCTCCCCCTCTGTTGCAATGAGACTTGATGTCGCCATCTAGGAGATGTCAGAAAAAAATATTTGGGCAATTTTCTTCATTTGTGTAGCAATTTGTGTAGTAATTCATTATACGTCCGCACGTGCTGCACAATTCTCATTTAACAGTCTCTGTAACAAGATGCAACATCTTACCAAGAACTGGTAAATGACATTAAAAAAAGCTGCTAACAATGGTTCATCTTGTTAGCACATTCAAATAATTTGTGAATAACACTCAGGGATATTTTTAATTGTCACATTAAGGCAGGGCAATGCATTCACACATACAAAGACACACAATATGTGACACAAGCTTCAAATATTCTCTCAGAAGGGAGCTGCAAGACATTAATTTTTAGCATGATAAAATATCAAGTTTTAAGACTGCCAACAAATGTCAAAGTTTATAAACAATATCTTTTGTGCTTCCTGATCTTTCCCCTTAACAATACAAATTTAGGATATTAAGGATTTTTTAATTCATTGTGGAGAGAAAAGCACAAGAATTACTTGGCACTTGATTCAAGCTTAGTTCCAGAAGAAACAATAAAATTACAAATGGAAGATCAAACTTTGGTATCAATGACAGCCCTCATAGACCACCACTGCTTTTTGTACTTAAACAGCACAATTTCAAACTTAACACAATCTGCTACTTCTTCCACTGTCATATATAGCTGTTCACTTACCAGGCAGTCCAGCTGAGAGACAGGGCTCTTGTTGCCAGGGTGGCTGATATCCCAGACTTTGACGCATCCCTTCCCACCTGTGTACACGTGTCTCGTGGGGTTGCTGATAGTAACTGCACACACAACTTCCCCATGGTTCAGGGTGTTGATCTGACGGGCATGGCGAGGGATTCCTGGACCGATGAGGGCGTCAGGAGGGAAAGGTACAGGCTGCATCTGACCATCGGCGCTTACATGAAATGAATATGCTCTGAAGACAAAAAAGAAAGGTGAGAAGGAAAGGAACAGTGATGTAAGTTATTCTTCAAGCCTCTAAGAAAAAAGAACAAGATGCATGTGGTACATGTGTATAGAGATCAACAGCCTAGTATTTTCCATTATGGCAATTCACGCTGTGCACCTACTGCTTGTTGCAATTTCTACACTAACTTGAAGGGCAACATTTCTTAGACATTTAGAAATCTAAAGTATGGATACCCAAACAACACTTGGGTAGCTTTCCTTTTGATGTTTTCAGCCTAGCTTCACCTACTAATGAAACAAGCTTTTATAACTTATGCAGCTATAACTTCTGGCACGAGCAAGGATACATTACACTATTCTTAAACTCCCGTATGTGGAGAGACCAGCACATGCACAGGTGCAACACATCAGGGGCCTCCAGGAAGACAGAAGTAGCAAGCTGGCTACTGCAGAACATTAGTGGGGACTGAGTGCCAGAGGACTTTTGGTTGGCCCTTACTGACTCTAAGACATGAACTTGGCATGTGGGAGCCTGGGGGCTGCCAGGCTGCCCAAGGTACCAATGGTCCCACATGACTCAAAGGACACTGCCTTGTGCTGCCTGTAAGGTGCAGTGAAATCACTGCTGTCAAGGAGTTAAGTCCTCAAGACATGCTTGCTGACATCTGACACGACAGACTAGTAAAAACACATTGGGATTTTTTCCTTCTCTGCGATTTTTCTTTCTTTTTTTTTTTTTTTTTTGTAGAATTGACAAAACCACCACAAATCCCAATTTTTCTTGCCAGAATCAGGACTCTCACTGAGAAACAATGTGTTGTGTGACTGCCAGTTATACCACCTGTGAATAACCTATCAACAGTTTTATCTCAAAATATTTTCCAGGGAGAATGTTTAGGTTGTGAAATTGTCTCATTTTCAGATGCACCCTGACATATCACATCTATTACAGAGCACAAATTTTGTAAGAGGGTTCACCTACACATACGAATGAGTGCTTAATGGAAGGTTTTAATTTCCTCAGGCCTAAAAAAATAACAGTGGTACTAATGAAAAATCCATTGTTACAATGGTGGTGATGAGAACAGTTCACAAAAAATATCATTTTATCAGACTACTTAGCTTGTTTCCTTAATTATTGCTTGAAAGTCACTGAAAAAGGTAGACTTCATAATCCATTTGTTACTGAAGATTCACTTTGAATTAATATCAGAACAATAATTTTCAGGAGGATAAAATACAACCGCATTTTCATCATTCTGCCCTATTCCCATAGCTTTTCACTTTCTCCTACTATTGCCCTATGTTGCTTGTTCTGGTGGATCTGAGTGACAGATCGTATCATCATTCTTCATTTTTTGACATTAAACACATTCAGGAAAGGGTAGGATAGAGTTCTGTGGTTGTTAGAAGCAGCAAACTGACTATATTGAGTGGAATTTTGAGTTCAATTATCATTACAGAAATATGAAAGATCTTCATTATCTAATTATTTTCTCTGAAGTTAAGTACTAATAGAAGAAGCAGGTGGTGACCTGGAATCTATAACAAAACAAGTGCAACTTCTTTATCATCCTTTCTAATTTCAGCAAAAAGTTTAATTCTCTGTACAGTCATGCCAAACACTTAATATATGTCATCTTCATTAACCCACAGGAATTTTTGTTGTGCTTATAGTTACATAGGGAATATGTTTGAACAATTAAAAAAAAAAGAAGCCTTAGTTCTGGAGTAACCTATAATTCCTATTCTCACTCAATTCAACATTCCATACCAGGACTGTAATTAAATTTGCTACTACTTGTTGCTCATTTGAAGCATTTTAAATATGTTATAAATATCTGATATCACAAACCTGACAAACAATTTTTTCCTTCTTCTTAGCTAATTCTTCTACATATGTATTGTACTGTCCTCAACTTTTTGATTCATCTCAGGACTAAAGAGTTATTAGGTAGCTAGATCCCCGATGTGCCACACAACACTCATCTCATTTCAGCAAATCCTCAACGCTCATTTTTTGCTTTCAGGGAGAAGGAAAGTTAAATGAGAGCACAACAATCCCAAGCGATAGATGTGAAAAACACTGAACATGAGAAATCAGTGCAATCATGATAAAATGACCACAGATTTCAAAGTTTTCAATCCCTACAGCTGACAAATAGCTGCAACTGTCCTTTGAAAAAGTCATCAATCTGTCTATACACTTCAAAAATATTTGAGATGCAAAAGATCTTTGACTGGCTTAGTTTTAATTCACATCACATCATTTTGTGTTCTCCTCTCTAACTCAAGGGGGAGGCAGGTAAAGCGATCTCTATTTCTATAAAACCTTTTATTCTGAAGTTACAAAAAGCAAAGCCTAGCACAGTAGGTCACCTTTTCTGGGCCACTACATCCACCAAGGATGAGTTTGAAATTTTGAATACTATGTCTAGAAATTTCTATGCATCCATTTCTTGTGAAGGATCAAGATCCTACAGAATTCTTAATCCAAACACTTAGAAACTTTTGTATACCAGCTTCCAAAATCATCTTATGCAGCTATATGCTAGGCTAGAATAACTACAAGAAGAGAAAACTGACACAATAATCAATGTGTGAAGCCTGTAAGAGAGGAACTAGCATTGATCGCTTTTCCCACAACGTATTATTAATCTTGCGTGTCTCAAAGTACACTAGCAGGCAAATGTATGCATATATAAACAAATGTGTGAGTATGTTGTGCACTACCTCCCTCATAAACACACTCACACATAAGGCAGAGAGGGAAGGGAAGGCACATTCTACATCTCCTTCAAACCCTCCAATATTAGCAGGTCACAATTTCTTGTGAGTGTCACATATGAAGTGGAACTTGACAATCCTTACCTGAAATATGGATCAAAGTATCAAAGTGGTTTGCATCATTGCTTTTTTTTGTTGTCCTCTCTAACTCAGGAGAAATGCAAGTAAAGAGTTCTTCACATCTGTGTAACTCTTTTTTCCTAGGCTCACAAGAAACTATGTCTGGTGGAGTAGGTCACTTTTTACAGTCATTTCCATCAAGGATGAATTTGAACATTACAATATCATAATTCTTTCCAGTATTTTCAATCAAACAAAGCATTTCTGTGTTCCTTTCTCTGCACATTGCAGTTTATAACATCTGATAAGTTTGCAAGTGATTTCAAGGCTTTTGTGAACAAAGAAATTATTTCTTCACCTGAGAGACAGAGTATGGCAGAGATGGAAAGCTGGCATCCTATTAAATTTTGCATTTCTTTATTAAACCAACCAGTCAGATTCAGCTACAACATCTGGAAATTCGGGTCTCTTCTGCATTTATCACCATCTCACCTTATTCTATACCACCCAGTACTTGATGGCTGCAATTAGTCTTCAAAACAATTTTACAAATACAATTTTAAGATTGAATAGTGCTTTTTCCTCCCTTGCTAAATGGCTGTATTTATTCTTACAATAATTTTCAATAGCTAAAGGGAATTCCAAGTGGCAAGGGAACACAACTTCAATAGATGATTAACTTTTAAAGTTGAATATTTGATACTCACGGTTTTCCTCCTGGGATGCCTGTGAGGTTGGGAGGGATGCCTGGAACTCGCATATGATGATGAGGATCAAAACCAACCTGCAGTTTTCCCCAGGCAAAATAAAAAGCTTTATTAAAAATGGAGTTATGCAAAAGAAGACAGTTTAGTCCATATCCTCCAAAATCCAGCTAACAAACAGACCAAATCAGATTTAACCTTGCAGGTCAAACATTTAACATAAACTGTTCTCATGCTCAAATGCATTAATGACAAACACTTACCACTGGAGATCTCCCATAAGCTGCAGCTGCTGCTGCTGCTGCGGCTGCTGCACTCATTTGGGGGGAAATGTTGTGTAGACCAGCATAGGCAGCTCCAGGGCTGGTCAGCTCACCATTCATACCAGCATGTGGCACAATTCCAAAAGGAGTAGGGTAAGGACACGGCACTGCCATAGGTGTCCTTAAACCTGAAGCTACAGAAGACAAGAGGAGTTATACACAGCCAGGCAAACACAAGTAGTTCAAACACAGTGGCAAACAGTCAAAAAAAAAAAAAAACCAAAAAACAAAAAACAGTAGTGAAGAGCTGTGCTAAAATCAGCTCAGCATTTATATTGAAAAGCTGCACTCTACAGCTTTGTAACTTTAGAGTAAAGGGGAAGCTGTTCAGGGATTAATGGCTATTTTATATGGCATATAGTTTTCAATTTACTGATACTAACCTAGTGGGTCAACACTTGGGGGCTTGCCAGGCACAGGCCTCAATCCAGGAGTGGAATTGCTGCCTGGAGTTGGAGCATCAGTCCGTGGAGTTGGGGTATTTGATTTAGATACAGGTGTAGTAGACTTCTCATTCTAATAATCAAAAAAGATAAAGAAAGATGAAAAGTTATTTTAGTTATCTTACTTTTTGGCTTCTTAACCTGTGGCTGAAAAGACAGCAGATGACAACTAGAGTGTGGTGCAACTCGTGAAGCTTGAATTTTGACTTTAATAGTCAGTGTCAATGAAATAAAACATGCAGGGACACTTAAAAGCATAGAATACCTTTGTAAATTAATTGTAATTTTCACAGCTTTTCTCATTTGGGCCACCTATATGATCTGGAATAAGATCAATGACTGAAAATCATTATCAACTGACAATTCTATTGGTAGAATGTGCAAAGTCTTTTGGAGGTCTCAACATTGCTTACAGTGGACCTGTTCACACGACAAGTATTTTAGATAAGCCACTGCCTGGTGGACAGGAAGAGCAAAAGAAAACTCAAAACCATGCAAGAACCCATGCCCATATACAGTCAGATAACAAAACTTGTCATAAACATTGGGCATAAAGTCAGGCACTGCACAGCGCCACTCCTGTGCAAAGCTTGTTCGTTTGACAAAGAGCTGACTCCTGGGTCTGAGTCTGTCATCACCCTTCTAAGGACTACCATCAATTTGGTATTTTGTTTTGTTTTTGTTTTGTTTTTCTTTTAAATAATCATGTACCCTGACCTACAAAGAACTATGAGAAGAGTTATGGTGCAGCTCAGAAACGTGATTAACTACAGTCACAAGCAGGATAGGCAAAAACACCCCTGACTTGCAGCCAGGTTTTTTTTTTCATTGTGATTTGTGACACAAGTCAAAGAAGGCTCTTGTAAATGACTGATTACTTTTTAGATAGAAAATAAAAATTATTGTTATTGTATATGGCCTGGTAATTCAAACAAAGCTAACACCAAATCACATCCAAGCAGGGAACTGAATTTGCTATAAACCACAACACAAGAAAACTGTTCAAGGAACCCCTGTGTACTCTTTTTTACTCACAGAATGACAGTTTTTCTTATGGAGAAGGAGAAAAATATCTCTCTGCACATAACATCCATCATTTTATGCACATGACTAGTTAAAATAAGTTCTTTCCAACCCCCCAAAAGGCTATGGACTTTCTCCTTAGTATTTTATTGATTTAGCTCGAAACAGAAATAAAAGGAACTTTAAAGTGATTTTTCGTACCTGATACTGATAGCCTTAGGAATTCAAATTGTGCCTATATGCAAAGGTGGTTAACATATGTTTTATTATATCATCACAGATGAGGAACATTCAGAGGCACTTACAAGGCTAAGTTCTTTGGATTTGGAGGAAGGAGTACTGCTGGAGGACGCAATAGATGCTGGACTAATTGGTGCATCTTTCTTCAGCAGTCGAGTCTTATCCAAGCCATTCTCCCGTGGAGAGTGTGCTGGGCTTCCCCGAGGAGAGGAAGGATCCTAAACATCAGAAACGTTGGTTAGTAGGAAAAAAAAATCATGGAAAACACTAACCCTTGTCTTTAGTAATTTACATTTTGGAGTGAAGATCTGCCCTAAAAGGTGGCATGTCTGTTCAATCTGTGTGATTTAGCAGAAGAAATTGTGAAATCAAGTTCATAATCAAAGAAAATTATTTAAATTATTTTTGAAGGTTTTAAAATTGAATGCCATTACCCCCCCCMAAAAAAAAGTTAAAAACCTTCAAGTGCTGAATTGTTGAAGTAGGCTAGTAATTTTCATTTTTCAGGTGGCAAACAGAGGTACTCGGCACTCCTGATTAAAGTTCGCAAAAGAAGTCAAGAGCAGAGCAAAAGAAAACACAAATACCACTACAAGCAGCACCCTATCTTTTGTATATGACTGGTTTCAAATAGCCAAAAGTAGTCTTTTGGTTTGTGCAAGAAACATAAGCTCATTTGTAGCAAGATAAACAACAAAAAAAGTGTTATAGATACGATTTGTCTTCTATAGAAAGAAGACCTGCCTGGATTCCCTCAGGAATTTCAGGCTCCTTTGTGAAGGCAAAGAATGTAAGCTTATTCTCATATCTAATATGCATGGAAACCGCTGAACCTCCCCCCTCTCCTTGCTATTATAGGTACCAAAATAGCATTACTTATACCTCATTGGAAACATCAACTACCAAGTTGTCATCACTCTTTTCACCATCACTGTCCTGCAACGACAAATTACAGTGTATAATATTTAAATATATAATTTATTATATAACATATTAAGTAACTTAAGCATAAAGGAAAAAAAAAGATGAAATACAAAGCTGCTTATTTCTATACAGTATAGTTTTTATTTTTACTTAGCTTTATGGGATAATGCAAATATATTTAGGTCTCTTATAGTGCTTCTTCTTAATAGAACTCAGAGATGTAGCATTCTTCCCAGTTTTCACATAAATGAATAAAGACAGAAGATGAAAATATTTGTAAGAAGTTGCACAGCATGGAGAAGCATGACAAAGTATACCCCAGCTGTACTCAGAGCTACTGAGTTGTAGCTGAAGGCTCAGTGCTCATCACCTGCTTCCAGACATCCTGCATTTATATGACCTAAAGTACTATAAATCCTGTGCACTTAAGTCTTCCACCCAGCAGATAAATGCAGACAATGAGTACCTGTTAAAAACTGACCTGCAAATTTAAACCCAGGTATGAAGTAGGAAATTGACAGTTACAGAGGAGCCAAATTCAACAATGCAAAATTTAAATGTTTTACTCACATAACGAGCTGCTATTTCCTTCTCTTCTGTTTTCTGTTTTTTACTGTCTGAAGAATAATCTGTTGAGTTTCTGTGCTTTTCTGCTGTTCTGAAACTGGCTGATGGAGATACAGAAGAGCTCTGCAGTTAGAAGTGGTTGAGAAAGAGAGAAAAAGAAAAAACATCATTGTATGCTCATTCAAAATAACAATTTGTTTGTCACTATCCCTCAGTATGTCTCTGAGGATGTTCTGATGGACAGCACTGTGAGTTTTAATCAGTGATTGAGTGAGTGCTACTCAACATTTTTTTTGTATACTAAGAGTATACAAACTTTTGTATATTAAGTGTACATAACATTGCAAGAGGCACAGGTAAAGGATATCAGTTATTGACTCACTGAATTGTTGGTATCAGCAGCCTCATTAAACAGCTGATATCAGCAACATTGATGGAAAGAAAGTAGAACCACCATGGATCACTTTAAAAATAATGAATATTGGCCTGGCTTTGGGTTATTTACTCAATAAATATGCAGAGTCAATGCAATACTGACCTCCTAGAGTAGGGTGTGGGAAATCAAAAACAACAACAAAGGTTGTGCAAAGATGACACACTCCAGCCAACACCTGAGAAAAGTTTGCTAGCAAGAAGGGAAGCAAGGTCTTGAAAAGTCTTGCATCAGAAGTAAGCAGTAGAGGCAAATCTGATGCCTTATACAATTAAAGGTAGATGGGGGCCGGTGGTAGGCTGGAACACAAGAGCTCCTGAAATCTATCCTTGTCCTGCAGCCCTACCTAGCCTACCTACTACAGAGCCTGATAAAGAGACACATGAGATTGAAAGATCATTTGTACTTTGTGGACTGTCCTACAATTCTACTTTACTTATACAAACCAGAAAGACATTATTTATCAGCTCTTGCCCTATTTCCAGAGCTTGACCGAGTCTGTATCTTGACATACACACAAGGATGAAATGAAAGATTGCAAGTTTTCTATAGGACTGATTCTAACAGCAGCATAAGGTTTTGCCCTTAGTTCACAAAAACACTTAATGGATGACCTAAAATATGTCTCACAGTGAAGCCAATGGTTAAATATACAGAAGTAAGAACATGCTCAGGCATTTTGAAGAATCAGAACTGACAGGAATGAAGATGAAAGTCATTCTCCATTGAAACTCTCCTGACTATTTCCCTTTATCTAGCCTCCTTACATAAGAGGGTAAAAACAAGTAATGAAGTAATTACTCTTGAATTTAAGACCTTGCTATTCATTCAGAAGGTGTTCTCTTCTATGCATGTGGCTAGCCATTGCTTTACATAAAACAGCACAATACTCCTTACTGATTTCTTCTTCTTGGTTCAAGTGCACACCTAAGTTTATTGTTTAGCTGCTACCAGGAATGCAAACCAGGAAATTAACATCTACATTATGCAATTTCTGCTCCATCACTATCACCAAATCACTTCTTTCCCTTGACCTACTACACCACAAACTTCTGGTAATCATCAAAAATACCTGTCCACAGAAGCTAAGCTGAAGTTTCTTGTCTTGCCTCATAAGAAAACTGGACCATCACGTCCTGGTCTCCATGTCACTTCTCTAAAACCTCGAACTTTTGTTAACTGTTGTTAACTGTTAACAGCAGTTCAGATTACAGGATGAAAACATCTTTTGTCTATTTTTGACTGTTAGTCATTAACAGTGCTGCAAGGAAATGAAAATTTTAAAGCAAAGCTAGTGCTGAATAGAGGCTGTGTCTTTCTTATTTCCCTCTGTCCTCTCTTCCAACACTGTAAAATGGTAGACAAGGATTTCCTATGCTGCAAATACATCTTAAAATGTGTTCACTGATTTACATTTAAAGTGAGCCATTATAAACAACTATTATGCTGTTAAAAAAAAGAAAAAGCTCTTGTTTGCTCTGAATAGACAGCACATGTTAAAACATTTGGAGACAGTGGTGACAGTAGGCTCAGAAACCCTTCAAGAGCCAGGCAGAAATGCAACATTAAATGACCTGATGGCTTGAGAAATACATTTGCTTACTGAAATGATATAGCTTAGTCTTTTGTAAGAGATTTTAAGAGTACACACATATTTATATGCATTTACAATTTGGGAAGTAGTAGCTCATAATGAGAATTCAGTTCATTATTTCTCAACTTCACCACACAAAAGACAATCTGCCTTAAACAAAGAAAAATAATCATTAGCAAACTACAGATTAGAGTGGTGGTATCTAAAGAATTAAACTACTATACTTAGTTAAACAGAAATATTTATTTCTATAAATTTGAAACCATGCAGTTTAATTTTTCACAATACAGCTAGCTGTGTGCTATAGATACCACTTTAATCTTTGATTTCACTCTGTAATAAAGTAGTAAATTAAAGCTCCCTACTTAAATGATAAAGTAGTTAATTATCACTAACACAATAAGGATGAACACCACACTGTGCACTGCAGCAATGTGTAGAGCGTAATTTTTTTTTTTTTCTTTCTGCATGTGTGTCTGTATGTGTGTTTACATGAAAGACTGACTAGTTTTGGTATCTGTATGAAAAAAAAAAATTCACCAGGGTATCCCACCTGCATAAGAACTAAAATGCAGACAATTGACCTATTGATTGCTGGTAAGGAGAGGCGTCACATTAGCGAAGTGCAGGAAGCTGACAAAACTTCATTTCCCAAACTGAAATTTGGGAAGTGTATTAGGACTAATATTATTTTGCCTAAAGTATCAATTTTACAAGACAAGTCAATCACTCTTCCTTTAACTGTTTCCTTCCTTTTCTTGCATGGGAACTGCGGTTACCCAGCAACATTCCTGCAATAGTATTTTTTTTTTTCCTTTCCAATATGCAACACATCTGCCATACAAAAATCTCTTGACTTCACGGGATCTCTGGGACTGGTGCTGACAGATCTAAAATTATCTTCTATACTAAATAACAATAATATATCATGTACTGCTCAGCCAAAAATCTATGCTCTAGATCTTGTAAAGTACCTAACCTCTACTGATTTCAGTACACAAGGGGCATTTATTCGTCCCAAGGTCCTACGAAGGCTTACAATAGCAGTTCAGACTGTAAGCAACTGTAAGGGTGTATTTTCAAATGTGATATGCCTGGGCATCTTGGTTTCCACTGACATTAGTTTTCTACATATAAATTGGTACTCACACAGGAAGTCTACATRTTCCAAGAGAGAAACTTATGTTCCCACATGTCACACAAAAACCTCGATCAAAGCACAGCATTAATCTGTCAGGTTCAGCTCTGTTCCTCGATTAAAACATCTTAGGTCTCCTAACAGCTRCCTTTTAGAAGCTGTAAGAGGACAGCCACTTAGAGAAATTAAGTGATTCAGCATTATGTCTTGAAAGGCTGAAACTTAATGGGCCAGAATTCTCATTTTAGCAACTATTACAATTTATAGAGAAATATTCACTGCTGTTTTTCTTCAATAAAATGTTTTAGCCTACTAGAGAAAGTAGCATTTTCCCACTAACAAACACCAATTTTGTTCACATATAATAATTGGATAAAACACAGGAAAAAAACATTCTTTAGAAAGTGGGTTATTTTTAGTTTGTGTTATAGCACAACGTACTAGGTTTTCACTTTCTGCTTAGGTAGAACATTTTATTCATGCCAAATACACCGCAAAATGCTGACAAAAATCTATTCAAGGCATACATTTACAGAAAAGCTGAGCATGTTGCCTTGTTCATATAATTTGCTTAAGAGGTGAAATAGTTTCTAGTGCTGAATCCATAGAATTTTTTACACCAGACTATAAAGCACGAAGCACAGTACTTCACTCTGTATTTTGCATAGTGTTGAACACAGTGTTTAAAATAAACAAGAAAGAAACAAAGCTAAACAAACAAACATCAACAAAACGACACACACAAAGACCATTCAGACTTCATTACATGAAGTGGTATGTTTTCTTTCCAACACTCATCAACATCCACCTAGGTGTTGCTCCAGGCGGAATGCTCATGCCAGACGCACAAATTAAATGATCATAAAGAAGACGCTATAAACCTCTTATACCATAAGCCATAAAATTCTCACCACTAGCAACGCAAACATCAGCATGCTGTCTACTTGGGATAATTAATATTTCGAATTGCTTGAAAAATCCAGATTCATTATCATCATTTTAACCTCAACTTCCACTGCAAGTTACTTCCATTTAGATAGATGACTCATGCTGCAACACAGCAGAAGATAAGGAAAAGTATAGTCAGATCATGCAGTCTTCCATCCACTCTCAAACCCTATAAGCTCCGACTCCCCATATGCTAGCTCTCCTGCAGATAACTCCTGCTAACTCCTGGCCTGAGTAGATGAAGTGATAATTAAATGAAATCACTGTTAAAAGTAATGACTAGAGATGACAGCATGAAAATCCTCCCCTATGAGGAAGCTAGTAACTCTTTAAAGCATTTGTGAATATGACCATTCCCTAGCGTAACTTTACAACTCTTCCACACTGATTTATTTGGAGTATAATAATTTCAACAATAATTCCCAACAAARTGGGAATTATGAGATAATTGACCATCCTGAAGTATTAAGCAAACTGCAGTAAAAGCCAAGGATGCTCAACACTAAGGTCAATTACAATATAATTATCTGAATGACATTACTGCTGTTATAAAGTCTGTTGAAAGTATAAAAGAAACTATAAAAATGGATACAATATGCATCACATGAAAATGACCTTAGAGTAATACTGCTAGGTTGACTGCTGTCAATGATGTACATGAAGCAAAAAATTCCAAGGCTGGGCATTGCTCCAGAATTTGGTTTGRCACTCTTAACTCTTTGAGATAAAACCTTATGTTTAAATCAGAAACACAAAGAAATCAAGTAATGTTACCTCTTGCAAGTCAGGGGATGAAGAGTCCCCTAGATGTAGTACTGCAAGGACTTACTGAATACAGCTCTACATTTACTTTACCAATATTCTCGCAATTCTACAAATTTCAGGCACATCTTGCCTCAGCCCTCTCCTCCATAAACTGAAGAAATCCAGTCTTTTGAATATCTCCTTGTGAGGCAACTATTCCATTTCCTTTATAATTTTAGTCACCTTTCCATGTAACTCTTCTAGCT